GTTTGACATGATTTAATGTCACTATGACCCACTTCCTAGCCTGCATGTTCACATTGCTCCAGATATGCCTGACGCCATCCCTAGGTAGTGTACATTTTTTCTGCATCTAAACGGTGGTTTGACAGTTGCTTAGATGTAGGGCAGATATGTAACACAAATGCTAACCTTCCTTCTTAACCTCACAATGCAAATATATAACTACTATTTTGTTGCATGCACACACCATTATTGTCAATACATGTTGGTTTGCGTATTTTGGCTTTTATTCATATATATTAAATTAGTTTGTTTTGTAATTAATGTCAAGTTTTCTTTTTAGCCATTCTTTCTCCTCCAAAGAATCTAACTGTGGGATTATTGGATTTTAAGGCTACAGCTGAATGGCTTCCTGGGAAAGGAAATCCTCCTGACAGCAGATATACCATGGAGTTTATAACTGCACGAAAAATGTACATACAGACTTTATCAAAAAATAAATAAATAACTTTTTTGTTTTGAAAAATTGTTTATTGTACTCATTATGATGTTTTTTCGGGTAGGTCTGGAGGAAAGTGGAATCGCTCTCCACACTGCACTAACATAGCCATACTGAAATGCGAACTGACCTTCAGTCTGCAACCTGAGCTTCACTGGAATTATTTTGTGAGGGTCAAGACAGCACTTAAAAGGGCGAGCTCCAACTGGACAACTACATTAAAGTCTTTCCAGCCATATGGAGACAGTAAGTTCAAATATATTATATAAGACATCCAGAATGAATGTCGTAAATTGTTTTTGTCAGGAAAGCTAAATAATGCTCCTTTGTTGGACTTTCTGTTGGATTATTCTGTAGCACACCTGAGTTCCCCAGATGTAAAAATCTCAACTGAACAAAAGTCCATTAAAATTAATTTTAGTCATTGTCTGGAATTGAAACCAGAGATCAAACCACTGGAATACCTGCTATACCTTTTTGAGAACAGTCCTGCAGGGGAATCAAAGGTAAATGCATAACATTTTTGTCTTGTACAATCACTGATTTTTACAATGAAATTTCTACATTCATTGTGATTCAATGCATTACTTAAAATTTGTTGATTTTTTTTTAATGTAATAATTTTATTTTATTAATTTTTTTTTTTTAGTTTGTAGCACTGAAATCAACCTCAGAATCTCCCTACATTTTCCGTGATGTGCCATCTGGCAAGAACTACTGTGTTAGTGTTTCTGCCAGTCATCAACACGTCTTGAAGAACAACAACTTCAACACCACCAAATGTATATTTCTATTAGGTAATGGATATAATTAAATTTTTTATAGTATTCAGAGTGTGTATATCTGGAGAGATCAGTGAGGATGCATTGAACTGATCAAAAGTGAGAGTAAAAATGTATAATGTTACAAAAGATTTCTATTTCAAATACAGTAAATGCTCTTTTGAGCTTTCTATTCATCGAAGAATCCTCAAGAAAATATATTACAATTCCCACAAAACTAGAAAGCAGCACTGTTTCTGACATTTATAAAAATGATAAAATAATAATAAGAAATGTTCCTTGAGCAGCAATTGTGATTTCTGAAGGATCATGTGACACTAAAGACAGGAGTAATGATGCTGAAAATTCAACTTTGCATTACAGGAATAAATTACATTTTAAAACAGAAAACGGTTATTTTAAACTGTAATCATTTTTAACAATATGACTTTTACTGTATTTCTGACCAAATAAATGCAGCCTTGGAGAGCATAACTTCAAAAACATAAAAGCAACTTTATTACAACGGTATTTTATGTATGTTAATGTGTATGTTCTTATAGATTCTACTAGAAGCTTTATGCTGGTGTACATTGTGGCCATACTGCTAATTATTTTTTCAACTGGGATTTTTTTGTCTTTTGGTTGTTTTTACCACATGAGGCATAAAAACAAGAATCTCCACTTTCCAAAACATTTGGTATGTACTTCAATACTGTTGTTCATAAAGCATTGTGTATGTCCTAATTTGACTTTACATTACTTGATTTTTTTGGACATTACCCTTCTAAGATGTTTAATATTTTTATATACAGTATACATTTATTATGTGTATATAGGCCTCAAGTCAAACTTAAAAAATCTGAATTTCAATGCATTAGATACAAAATATCAAATTGTGTGGCATCTGCAAACAAATGTTGCTAGAGCTGTTCTAGGAACTAACTTTGTTTTCTGAGACAATTTTTCTATTATTTTAACTGGTCTCTGAGTCATTTTAATGGATGTATTTATTCACACTTGTGTACTTATAATGAAACCTGAGCTCAAATGAACTAACAACTGTTAATTATTCATGTTAGTTAATGCTTTAACTAAAGTTAATTAATGGAACCTTATTGTAAAATGATACCAAATAAATAAATGCAATGCATGGTAGAGGTTCACTATCCTTTACAATAATACAGTGTTTGTTTGTCCTTTACAGATTGTTTTTCCAGGATATAAATGGGTCCTAAAACCAATCCTTGAGGAATACCAGCCAATTACAGTGACCCCGCCAAAAACAGCAATGAACACAGAGGGCCATTTTTCTTCATGGGAGGAAGACTACAAGGACGGCTCTCTGTTCTATCAACCAACATCCGTCGCTAATGTCATCCCACCAGAGCAAGCTGAGGAGGCCGATACATCAAATCAGTGTTATAAGTACACAATAGCTAATGATATGGAGGATAGTGAAGAAAATGAAAATGTAATATCTGAAAAGATTGAGGAAAATATGCATCCAGGTAGTGAATCTGAATCTTCCTGTGCTTGTAATTTAAACCATTTGAGATCATCCAGAATACTACAAACAGTTATTATGAACATGTTTGTAAACTCAGAGACGATTAGATATTATGCAGAAGAAACTCTTTCCTGTTCTTCTGGTAATAGCTGTGAAAGAGAAGTGCCTGCTGAAGATGAGGAGGAGGAGGATGGCTTCTTCTTACCTGATTTCTCCTCAGACAGTGGCTATGAACCAAGATAAAAGTATTTATGAACTTCCAAATCTCTACTGTGTAAACCAGGGGTGGGGAACGTTGATCCTGGAGGGCCATTGTCCTGCAGAGTTTAGCTCCAACCCTGAAAATAAATACCTACCTGTATCCTGAAGACCTTGATTAGCTTGTTCAGGTGTGTTTGATTAGGGTTGGAGCTACACTCTGCAGGGACACAGGCCCTCCAGGATCAACGTTCCCCACCCCTGATTTAAACTATGAAGGCCCTTAAAGAGGATCTACATATCCTGAACTTACTTCGAAAGGTGGTCTGCGCAACCAAATTCAAGCAAAAAAGTATCCACCTTTCACCAGAGCCATGCAAAACTCTGTGTTAAATTTGGTGATGCAGAAGATTAGAACATCCATAACATCAAGGAATAACACTTGAGAAGATGCTGGTATAGAAACCTAATCTGGGGGTCTGTTATGCCTGGAGAGGACTATCCGTTAACATTCCCATTCATCTTAATAGCACTTACAGTTTTCTCCTGCATCAGGAACTCTTGGATCTTCCAGATATCATGCTCTATACACGAAAATCAGTTTGACTCTAAAACTGAGTTCTGTATGGTAGAATAGAAGGAACTTTGGACCTAAACATTGCTGGTTAATGGCCATCTTGTTGCTGATTGCCCAGTTGAGGTACTATAAGCGGGCCATGTTGAACACATTTTGAACTATGGAAAGTGCGCCTACTTCAGGAATAAGTTTGAGCTGCACATTCTGTCACTGTGATGCAACTTGTCACATGACTGATTATCTAGGCGATAAATGGCCATTCAGACACTTCAATGACAGACTCTAGATGCTACATGAAGCAAATTAAGATGCAGTGCAATATCTGATTGACCTGAAATATTGGACAATTGAAATTCTAAGAGTATTCTATGTCATGCAAAATACATACCAAAATTACCATACCATAATTTACACAAACTGGGATCTGAGACAACTACAGTGAAAATCTCTATATATAAAATCTGATGGAAGATGAAAATAAATAGAAAACAACTGCTAAATGGTGGTCACTCCAAAAATCTGATTAATGGAAATATTTTTTTAAACATCCTCTCTTTACAGCATCTTTTCACAAGTTCTTAAAAAGAGTGTAATGTAGTGCAGTTCCCACATTTTTTTTCATAGAATTCTTGTTTTTGTTTTTCCCCCTTGTAAACGGATTCAAATATAGTTTGTAAGATAGTTGATAGTTTGTTTGTCTCCTGTTTATAAGATTCTTTTTTCTGAATTATTACAGTATTTGTAAAAGGAATGTTTAGAAATCTAATTCATATTCACTACTGGCACACAAAAGATATAAATAATCTTCATGTATCTTTCATGACACAACCGTTTTACTGTGCAGGTTTTATTTTCATGTCATATCCTACCATATGTATGTGAATGTGTTTATGTAACACTTGTTTTCTAATTTAAAATGGTGCTACAATATCTAGTAAAAGTTTTTTTTTTTTTTATCCTGGGTTATATGTATATTGGGGCACAAGTCTGTCTTGTCATTTAAAAATATGACAGCCTGAGAGTGAGAAGGTTTTGTTTACATGAAATGTTACTGACTGTAATGCTGCATAATGCCTTACTGAACGCTGCCTTTAATGGTGCTAAAGACATTGTTTCTTTTATGGTTTAAGAATGATTAACCCCTCCTATTATGGGGAAGTCGTGGCCTAATGGTTAGAGAGTCGGACTCATAGCCCAAAGGTTGTGGGTTCGAGTCTCGTACTGGCAGGGATTGTAGGTGGGGGGAGTGAATGTACAGCGCTCTCTCCCACCTTCAATACCACGACTGAGGTGCCCTTGAGCAAGGCACCGAACCCCCAACTGCTCCCCGGGCGCCGCAGCATAAATGGCTGCCCACTGCTCCGGGTGTGTGTTCACTGCTGTGTGTGTGCACTTTGGATGGGTAAATGCAGAGCACTAATTCTGAGTATGGGTCACCATACTTGGCCACATGTCACTTCACTAAAAGAGTCGAGAAGAAAGTAAATGCTATACATTTATTTTTATGTATGATTTTGAAGTTGCAAATAAATATTGGAAAACATAAATATGCAATAGTGCCACTATGGAGTACATATAATTTCTTTCTATTCACACATTTGGATGATTTTAAAGATTATTTGCCATTTGTAGACAAAAGTGAGAAATCTCTCGTTATTGTATTCTCTTCCCTTCTTGTCCCTTCTTATTTGTTGTCTAGTCAGTCTCCCCCAAACAGAGAAGAGAAAAACCCTTTCCTTCCATCTTCCCCACGTACACGCAGTGATTTGGTGGTGCGAGTGCCTCTTTGGAAGCCTGTCTGTTCCTTGTTGTTTTCCTTTTCCTTCTCTTGTTGTTGGAGTTGAACCTGATGACAGATCACCAGACGCATGTCCTCCTGGAACAAAAATGTGTTGGTCAATGAAAGTAAAAGAAGAGCAAAACTAGATTTTTACAATTTCTATATATAATATTTATTGCTAAATGTGCAATGCATAGTGGAAGTTAACTATCATTTACAGTAATACAGTTTATGTTCAATACAGTTTGTCACTGCAGGAACTAAAAGGGTCCTAAGACTAACCCCTAAGGAACTCCAAACAACTGAACTAGCCTAGCAAAAAACAGTAATGAGGACTGTGTTTCTGTGAACTGTGTTTCTGAACTCAAGAAGGATGTCAAAGACGGCTCTCTGTACAATGCATGGTAGATATATATTTTATGAAAAAAATATTAGTACTTCCTGTGCAAAACATAATGGGTGGTTTCTAGGGCATACCACTATACTAACAAAATCCAATTGGCATTACTGGATTAGAAATCAATTACAAGTTACCAACCTGCCAAGAATCAACTTCCTGAGACAGTGCCACTTTGTGTCTGATAGTGTTCAGAAGCTGCTGGTTGAGTGCATCACGTTCTTGTCGGGCCAAAATGATCTCCTCTTCCAAGGCACTATGGGTGATAAGGAAGAAAAAGTTTGGGTTGAACAAAACAATAGACTGTTTCAAGCTACCCTTAGATTATTATGCAAAATATCCCCCATTCATCACACATTGTTAGCTTATCACTTTATCTCTGGCATTAAATATGACACACAGAGAACAAAAAGGTATAAGTTGAAAAGCCTTTTGATCCAGTTCTTACCTGTAAGTAGGTTTACCAGGACTGTTATGAAATGGCTTCACCTCCTCCCTCAGCTCTTCTAATTCAGTTTCTCTAGACTGTAGCTGATGAAAGAACAAAACATTGCATATCACCTTAGATGAAGATACTCAGTCTATATGCATGCTATTGTGATGCCATCATATTATTAACCTAACCTCTTTCTGTAACCTCTGAATTTCTTCTTCTTTTTCTTGCAAAATGGCTGAATGGGCCAAAATGGTTTCTTTGGCCTGTTGGAGATCAAAATGAAAACAACCAGTCAGCAGAAATAGAAAGTGTGGTGAAGAGAAAAGCTGGTTGAGGAGAAAAACAAACACTTACTTACATAAAACTCAAAGACTTTTGATAGTCAATATACATTGCTTGCAGTGCTGTAAACATTTGCTACAAGCTAAGTTGAAGCATGCACACCTTTCTTTTTACTAAACGGGTTGAGTGCTACCTGGGACTGTTGGATCTCACTCTGAAGTGACAAAGGGAAACGGGTAGTCTCCCCCAGATTGGCTTCTTCTCCCAAGGCTTCAACCCTTTGCTGTAGGGTACGGTTGACTGTGCGCAGCTGAAACACTGTGCTGTGCTCCTGTTCCAGCTGTGAAAGAGCCAGAGACAGCCAGACTGAAATTCTCTAGGGGTGGGTGGACTCTGGCCAGCGAAATCTGAACCTGAAACTTAGGCTGCCCCAATCCCAATTCTTATACAATTTAGGACCAGTGGTATGCAGGATTAGACTTAGTTTGCCTCAAATCACAGTATGTTGAAAATCGTATGTCATGGTGGCCATATGGTACACTTTATTCAGTGAATTTTCATCTCTGCCCACAATGCCTCCCAGAACAGAATTGTCCATTTTGCTTTAAAATACAATTAAATAATAAAAAATAAAACATTTTTAATTTTATATAGATATTTTTTAATTAAGCCATTTTATTTGTGCATGCATCAAACAGCAAAGGATGAAGTTGCTAGAAGCCACTGATCTACCGTTAAGGTCAAAGGGTCAAAGTTTAGTGGGTTAGCATAGTCCAGTTAGCCCCAGCTGGTAAATGTCATAACCATACCATCTTTTTCCATTGAAACACATTTAAAAATATCCATGTATTCTGACTAAACATTTTTTCAAGCAACAGTATGGTTCAAAGGTTTGGGGTAAGATTTTTTTTTATGTTTTTGAAGAGGCTTATGCTTATGTATTTGATCAAAACTAGACTGATTTGGTGCTAAAAAAACATTTCTTATTATTATCATTGTGAAAAAACAGTTGTGCTGCTTAATATTTTGAATTGTTATATATTTATCAGGTTTTTTTGATGAATAGAAAGTTCAAAAGCATTTATTTGAAATATAATTTTTTGTAACAAATGTCTTTATTGACTCTTGATTTTGATCAATGTAATGATTGTTTTATGATGTTTTACAAAGCATTTTATTGGGTTATTTAAGTTATTTGTTTTATTTTATTAACAGTTATGTTGCTTAAAATTTATGTGGAACACTGATGCATTTTTTTCAGGATTTGATGAATAGAAAATTATATTTATTTCATAATATTAAATTAGACATTTTACTAGTGCTTCATTCTTTGTGGTGGACTCTTGTGTGAAATGGACTTCCCAACAGTACTGGTAATGGGAGTATGTAGATTAGGACGAGCCTTGGTGCTGCTTCACATTACTAAATGCTACAAATCAATTCTTATGTTAAATGTAGGGAGTAAATTCTAATTGTATGCAGTATTTATATGAGACATCTATCCTATATATCAGGGGTGGCGAACGTCGGTCCTGGAGAGCCGCAGCCCTGCAGAGTTTTGCTTCAACCCTAATCAAACACACCTGAACAAGCTAATCAAGGTCTGAATGGTTACTAGGAAGCTACAGGCAGGTGAGTTTTAATTAGGGTTGGAGCTGAACTCTGCGGCTCTCCAGGACCGGAGTTCGCCACCCCTGCTATATAGAGATTCACGCTTGCTCCCCATCTTCTATAAACTTTCTTTCCCAAATTCTATCATCTGGCACATATTCCTCACCTCCGTTTCTTTATCTTTCAGACTGGTCTGTAGCTCAATCACCCTCTCTCTCAATCCTTCCCTCTCAGATCTCAGCCGGTGGTTGTCTTCTTGAGTTGACTTCAGTCGTTCATCCATATTTGTACAGCGCTCTTTCAAAACACTGTTCTATGATATATGATCAGTAGTGAAAAATAACACAAAAACATCGAATCAACATACTTTCTTTGATTATTTTGCTATAAATCAAAGTTGATCATGTCAAAATTAATTGGCCTGGCCGATATATTGGTCTAATTCTACTTTGATCACTAATTTTGTGTCTATACCTCTGCTTGCAGACTGTCCAGTCTAGCAGAGCTTATGGATTTTCTAAAACTTGTATCCTCCATTTCTTCTCTCAAAGAACGAAGCTCAGTACGCAAAGTATGCTCTAAAGCCACTGCCTGGAAGAAAAAAAAAGGAGAAAGAAAAGTTTAGATGTAGTCAAACATTATTTCTAGGACTGCTTCTGACATCAGACAGATACCTAAACCTGCTGATCTTCATTCCAGCCCTGTATCTAACTGTATCCGTGTTACTACGTCACTAGACATGTTTACCCACATAAACCTGGATGCCTCTGACAAGATTTGCAAGAAGTTGTAAAAAATAGGAAACTGGGGACATAAATCTTCTGATTGTCTGGTCACCTCTGCCAGCTGTTCCACAAGTTTTTGGTTGTGGTTGGATAGCTGAGTCAGCTGCTCACTTTCTTCATGACGCCGGTCACGACTCTGAATGCGTTTTTGTTCCAACTGCGCACGCAACGCTGTGATGTCAGCCTGCAGTTCTGCTTCCCGCTGACTTGCCTCGAGGTCCCGCACCTCCAGACGTCGCTGCACCACGTGTTTCTCCTGCTGCACGGCCTGTTGTACAGAACAAACTTTATCTGTAATTCACACACACACAAAAGAGTTCTAATGCTGTTAACAGGTTTGATTTAGAATGATATCTACCTAAATGGGTCTTTTATGGTGAAATGTTTATTTTGGGGTTCTAGAAGCTGTTTTTGAAGGTGGTGTAATGGGCATAAAGTAACATTTATTACAGGTTCTATCATTCAAGTTTTTAGCACTATTTTGAGACCATTGATACAACCCTCTCTAAATGAAGAGCCACCATAAAATATCACTGTTGCTGCATCATATGCAACATCATTTCACTATGCAGCAGATATAACCACTCAAAACCAATCATGTTTGAGCATTTTCCTTTTTATCTTTATTTCTTGTACTTCTTGGCAAGTCCTCTAGTAGATGGTTTATAGTTTTAATACTATAGTTTTAAGCTTGTAAAGAATTTTGTTAAGAAACGTACCGTTTTTTTTTGTTTGTTTGGTTTTTTAAAGAAGTCTCTTATGCTCACCAAGGCTGAATACATTTTATCTAAATACAATAAAAACAGAAATATTGTGAAATATAATTACAATTGACAATAACGGTTTTTCATTTTTTATATATTTTAAATGTAATTTATTCCAGTGTGAGCAAAGCTGAATTTTCAGCAGCCATTACTCCAGTGTCACATGATCCTTTAGAAATCATTCTAATATGCTGATTTGGTGCTTACTTATTATCAGTGTTGCTGCTGATCAGTACTGCTAAATATTTTTGTGCAAATCATGATATATTTTTCAGGATTATTTGATGAATAGGAAGTTCAAAAGAACAGCATTTCTCTGAAATAAAAACATTTCATAAAAAGTCTTTACTGTCATTTTCGATCAATTGAATGTGTCCTTACTGAATATCTGAACTAAGTATTAAATAAATGAATGGTGGTGTAAATCTAATCTATAAAAACCTTTTAAATCTTTCTTCCATTACAATAGTAAATAACAAGGTATTAAAATAAAATTGGTACATTTTTGGGAGATACAGTCATTTGCTACATGGTGTTAATTTTAGACATTAGCATTTTGCGTGCATTTTATTGGGTTTTTTATTTTTATTGTGATAGATGTTTTATATGCCGTTATTATTTACTCTTCTTATTATAATGATTTAAAGAATTAACAATGTATTGTGTAGGTGTACAGCACCATAGGCAAATTTCTCTGCTGGACAATAAAGAATATTTTCAATAAATTCGAAAAATGTAGCTAAACAAAAGAGTTTAGATTGTTTGTAAACATAAACATGTTACTATACTGAGTTAAGGTCTGTTCACACCAAGAACGATAAAGATAACTAGCGTACACACCAGCAGACGATAATGTTCTGTTTATTATAAGCATGCGCAGCAGTTTGTCTGCTGTTTTAAATGTTTGAGCTTGTTAAAGTCAGGTGGATTCCGACTGGCTGTTAATTTTTTTGTTATCAGCTGAAAAACTTTGTTCTAAAAGTAATTCTAATGATATCGTTCTTCTGTATTGTTATAGTTGTGGTGTGGTCTAATCGCTATTCTCATAGAATTTGAATGATTAGTAAAACTTTATAGTTATCGTGTGAACAGGCCTTTACAGAGACTCCATCACTTCTGACCACTCATTCTCATTCATACCTCTGTCTCCCTTTCCATCTGCTCTATCTGAGCTGCCAGCTCCTCGTTTTTCTCCAGCAAAGCTTGGCCCACCTCAGCAGCCAAGATCAGGTCCTTTTCCAGCAGTGCAGGACTGCTGTCATCCTGAGGTGAGGCGAGAAGATCATCTACTCCCATTGTAGGAGCCATGATCCGGTGACCGGAGGAAGAGTGTGATGAAGAAAAGGGGAAGAAAGAATCCTCCAGAATGGGAGAGGGTAGGTTCTCCTTCTTGGATGGAAACATTGGTCCGTCCCTAAAGTTCACGGCTGAGCAGGACTCCAAGTAACCGTCCTGATAGTCAAAAGTTGTTCATCTGCATCCTTCCCAGTCGAAATGTCCAATGCTCTAGTCTAGCCTGGATTTTCTTCAGAGTTAACAAGAAACACACAGAACCTGACACCTCTTGGTTTTGTATATCCTTCAAAAGATGATCAGCACTTGTGTGTGTCACATGTAGGGTGTACTGAGGCTGAAGCTTCCTTCGAGGGTGGAATCATCAGTTGATTTATTGTTCTTCCTATGGACAAAAACATGTTGGAACAGGTGAACTCACCCTGAAATGTATGACACAAAGCTGGCAGGTGTATTCATTCACAACATCTAATCCTCCTGGACTGTAAAGAGCTTGGGTTTCTTCCCTATACTCTGCGTGTATCCGAACAACACATTATTCATTTCTTCCTTAGGGCATTTCTATTGCTGTCTAGGAGCTTCTTTTGTGGAAACGACCAACATAACAAAGTTTCAGTGTTTCTCCCACATTCCAGGAGTCATTCGAGACTCCTCAGTGGCCCAGTGACTACACCCCTTACAATTGGCTAAACAGGTTTTAAAGAGCTCTGGTAACTAAGACATATATGTGGCTCTGACCTTCTTAATGCCGATATTTCCCCACCATTATGTTTAATGTTGCTGAAAAGTGTTTTCTGGGAATAAAACAGGCTGCTTCCCGGTCTGTGGCTCATAATGGAGGAAACAGTCTTAGGATGACATAAATGGATGTAAACCAGAACCTCTGGCTAAAGCGTTTATTATTAACATGATGTGGTATCTAATGGAATTGAAACTGTTGAGTCGACAACATTAGTCTAATGCAGTGTAAACAAAACAGCCCAAGCTGTTCGTATCAACTTCACAGCAAATAAAGGCTTAATTAAAAGACTTAAGAACTTGTAAGAGTGTTTTATATTCAAAATAATTTTCTTGTTAATTCGGTAAGAAAGCGTCTGTTAGTAGTCAAAATGTCCCTATTGACTTGTTTAGAACAAGAAACGCTTTGTTTTTCCTACCTGGGAAGTTCCTGCTCCACACTTAGCATGAAAGGTGACAGGGAGGTACTACTGATGACCGCTTTGGAAGCGCTGCTGTAAAGCTAATTAGGCCACACCTTCTCATGACGTCATCAGTTCAATGGGAGGAGCCGGGCACACAAACAGGGTAGATACAGGTGAGATACAATGACTGATACAGTGTGAAGCTTCGATTTATTAAAAAAAATTAAATTCTTAAATGTAAACATGGGGGAATTAAACCATTGTTTCGAATTTTGAAGGCAGCAGTTCAACAATATCAAAAAACAATATTAACTTCGAAAAATAAGAAAAAATTTTGTAAACATTTTACTGTTTTTATTTCATTTAGCCATCATCATGTTTGTTTTTAATATTTAAAAAAAACCTATGCTTTATTAATTTGTTCATTTATGTTTGTATGCTTTATTTGGTGCACAAGTTTTTACTTCTGTCTTTTAGTTTTCCCCATTTACTTTTTATTTCTGAAATCAATCAAGTTGATTATTAATATCTGTTCAATTTCTGTAAACAGAAAGATATTATATTTCTGCTTCTGGTTTGTAACAAGCAAATTTGCCTAATTTGCCAACTTTGGAATATAAATTATCATATTGTTTTATGACGTCTACTTTCAATAGAAAATTTGTCACAAATTATTATTTTTACAATTATTTTTGGTGGATATTAAAATACATAAATTTAAATGTAGAAAAATCACCTTTAAAATACAGTGGGTATAGAAAAAAAATCCAACCCCCCAATCACATTTTGTTGCTTTGCAGCCTGAAATGAAGACAGACACATTTTTTGTGTTATCCAGCTGTATTTATTCAGTGCAACTTATAACATCCAAGTGAAAAATATAACACCAACATGTAAAAAAAACAAAAAGAAAACAGATTCACTGAGTTGAAAAAGGATCACCCCCTCCTAAAAACAGTCTCAATGGCACACACTATGTGCAATTCTGAATTTTAAACAATGAATTACACAAAAAGAAATACTAGCTCAAAGAGACAACTCTGGACTGTGGTACAGCCTTGAATCTCTATTCAGTTTCATGAGAGACTTTTCTGTGAACTTTACTGTCTTATTTTAGTTTTCAATCTTAATAAATAAAAAATAAACACAGCTGTATAATTTTGCCTCTCTCTCTATTTTCTTTTATACCATCACTCTATCCTATTTCTTTATAGAAAGCATTAAAAATATAATTAACAAATTCTTCCCACATATTAAAGAATTAACAAGACAAAGGATTGTGCTTAGAATTCTGTAATAAAACTTTCATAACTTTCCAATAATCTCTAAACTAAACATTTTTAGAACTGCAACATGCTTCAGAGTGTTCAAAGATCATTTTATAATAATGTCAGGAACCCCTCTTCTATCTAAAACGTTCTATAGGCAAGTTAAGTATTCTTAATTTCCACAGTGTCAGGTGTTATACTGACTAGCATAACATTCTCACCATAAAAGAACGCATTCAGGGGCTGTTAGGTAACCTGCTCAGTGCTGCCACTTTGTGGATAAAGTAACCCACTTTACATCACTGTTGAGGGAGCAGCTTCTAGTTGCAGGCAACCAGCTTCCAGATAGATAACTGGAGATCATGATTTCACTTAGTAAGGTACTGGATTTTCAGTTAGCTTTGTTGGACTGTTTGTTATATTCCAAGGTGTTCCAAATATGGAAATGGCTCAGAGAGACCATAAGGAATCCTCTGAACCAAAGTGAGTGTTGATTTTTGCTACTGTGAAAATACGGGTTGTTCGGCCCCTGGCGAAGGTCTCAGTCTCTGTAACTAGGTGTTATGGGGCCTGTGGCCTGTCTGTGTCCCTCACCATGGTAATAATGAACTGAGTGTGGATTCAGATAGGATTAGTAATATCCACACAAACGAGAGCCTGTGAAACTTGCAGCAACACTTGACTATTTTTCTCTTACAGACCCTAATTGAAGCTAGTTACAGATATGGGCCCTGCTCCCAATCTTGATTTATGGCTGTAACACAAGAAGACCCTGCATCAATAAAAAGGAATTTTGAATGACATACAAAAAGACATACAAATCAAATACTAGATAGTTATGCTTGCAATGAATGTCAGATTTTGTCCTTAAATGGTAAAGATAAAAATAAGTCAAATCACTTGTGTTCTATATAAGTAAATACACTTAATTCGAGTGGAGTGTTAGTGCAATTTCTTCTGTTATTATATGGATTGTATGTGTACTTTCTGAAAATGGGAGGAGCTTGGCCTCAACTGGCCCCTCCCACTTGAGCTTTAGTCCTGTTCAAACAAACTAAGAATCAGACACAGAGATGGAGAAACACTGTGCTAACTGGACCCTTCTCCTGGTGCTGTGTGGCCTCCTGCCACTGACTACTCTGAGGCTGGCAGGCAGATGCCAAAACTCTCAGACAAGAAGCTATGCGCCGATTCAGAGTGCAGCCGTGAGTAATGCAACCAGCATTTTTAACTTTCAGATATGTATTGTGGGGAACTTTCAGGATAGTTGTTTTTTCTTTTAGTGCTTTCTTTTAAATGTTGCATTTCAGCTTACATAACTTTGTTAACATTTTACAGTAAGGTTCCGTTTGTTAACATAATTTAACTACAGAATATTAGTTAACCTGAATTTAACAATGAAAAAACTTTATTAGATGTTAATTTCAGCATTTAATGATACATTGTTAAAATCTAAATTTGAACAGTTAGATTAATAAATACTGTTTAAAAAAAATAATATGAATTTGTTGAATTTTTATATTATAGAACAGTTTGGTAAAAAAAAAAAAGAAGAATAAGCAAACAACTTGACGTGACATGTGGCCAAGTATGGTGTTAGGAATAAATCCCACTCGAAATTAGTGCTCTGCATTTAACCCATCCAAAGTGCACACACACAGCAGTGAACACACACACACCGTGAACACACACCCGGAGCAGTGGGCAGTAGTTAGTAGTTAACAAACAACATGGACATGATTTTTTTAAAGTTTTATGTCGTTTTAAGGGAAAGTGTAAATTTTAAGATGCTGTAGTTGATCACCACCATGTGTGAATGTATGTATAAATATATATATATATATATATGCAGTCTTGTTGAAGAGACACATGTGTTAATGCCTGCTGAGGTTGAGGTTAAGACCGATGTGCGTATCTGAATTTTTTGTCTATGATAAACAAAAAGAAAATGATGCTTGGACAAATACATACAATAAAAAAATGGGCGTTTAGGATTAATTATATTCTTTTTTCTTCTCAGAAATGGGACTTTTACTACTATTAGGATTGTGTGCTGTCTTGGCTGGAGCATAAACATGATTCTTGATTCCACTCTGCACTTTAGTGTGTCTCTACATTTATTATTTCTAGTAAGCAAAGATTATTTGCTATTCAGAAGAGGAGAACATATAGCCTAGAACCCGACTGTAGACTGTAAATGCTTGTTGATGCAATAGTCTGAATAAAACTGAGCTGCTGCTATTTGGCTGCATCTCTTGCATGTGATCCTTCGTATCACGTGATGTTCTGGTAAGAAAAGTTGAGAAAATCAATTACTAGGCCTACTCAAGCGAGAAATGATTGCATATGCCTACATTATTGGTCAGGCATGACAGAATGCTTTCAGCACAATCAAACTCGATGCATCACTGAACACTAACTCAATGCATTATCAAACAACCCTTGTGTGAGAACATAACATTTCCCCCCCTCCTATGGGGTTTCAAACATGAAATGTTGACACAAAGTCCTGTAAGTGCCCTGGGCGAGAACGAATGCGGACAGGCCGTGGAGAAACACGGGGACGAGGCTGGGCAGCCTGTGATGGGCAGGCACACATCTCAGCTGGCAGGTTGATAGGCATGCCTGGAGCCTGTGCAGGAGCTATCTGAGATTTCAGCTGAAGCACTGGGGTGTCCTGCCAAGCTGGGGGTGTGGCTTGAGGTGTGACGCCTGTTGTATGTGC